AAAAAAGAAATTAGTAATTTGAGATTTATATCTAGTAAATAAACGTTAAATTAAGAGTTGGATAGAAAAAAAGATGTCCGTTTTGAAGATTCTGAACATAATAGGTGTATTTTATGTGTTGGCAACATAATTGAAAACAAAATGATGCGCCAGCGCATACTAACTGCTTCATTTGTTCTGTTTGGAATCGATTTTAAATATCTTATTGGTAGTGTTGTCTCGCCTAATGACGTAAGATTTGTAGCGATAAAATACATAGCTTGATTTGATTTACATATTTTTTATAAATATATTATATACAGAGTTGAAGTAGTTTGTCGATCAACTCACACAGATATAATAGTAAAGTTTTGGATAAACATTTGTGCGAATTATAATTTTAATTGTTTTTTTAATCTAACAAATACCGTGAACGAAGACGAATAAAAGCGATAAAAAATATATGTAAACAGTAAATAAATATACATACTGACTGACCACGTGTGTGAAATATTTGAGGTTGCAGCTTAAATTTTTAATGGGTCAAGTTAAAATAACGAGTGAATACAGAATGGCCGACGGTGCGGTTTCGCCCACGACTTAATAAAACACAATATGCTCAATATAGTCATAGTTACCATCAACCATATACGATTAGTGTCCTAACAGTATACGGCTCTATACGTTTTTTTTACAGGATACCCTTGCCTCTTATAAAAATAAAATAACTATAATAATGACATCAAATATAACTGAATCATCTAAATTCAAAACGTGTAACTGTTTTTAAAAACAGAAATATTGAAATAAACCCCGTTACAAAAGTGTGATGAGTTTCTTAATTACTGATAAAATAATATGCTAGCTATGTATTCGAAAAAATACTTGACTAAACATTTCAAAAGGAATTATTTTTTCCCTTAAAGGATTTCTCCAGGCTCTCTAGACTCCAAATGATGGCTGACTGAGTTCTAATCTGATATGTACCATATTTGTCAGGAGCTCATAATTTGCATATTTACATGCACAGTAATACTGTTTACGTTTGTTACTTCAGATTTCTCGGAAATAAAACCGAGTGGCTTTACAGGAATCGCGAAACAATTAGTTGCTAGTATAGTTATGTTAACGGCTTTATTTGAATAAATTCATGAATTGCAAATTGAACGGTAGCACAAAGAAATTCTAATTTTTGTTTTGTACGAATCTCTATTGTATTGCAATTGAGTGTCGTTTTGTATTTATTGTGAAATTTATAATACATGTGGAAAATGTAATACTAGAGTTCATTTTTCGTTAAAGTTTTTTAATGTGTGAGTCTGTTATACACAGATAAGTATTCCGTTCATGATAATATTATCGTTGCATAAATTCGGCTAAAGCAGTGTCATAATATTCTCTTATCAAGAAAAACATAGTTGTTGTGTTGATAATAATTCATGTATTGTTATATTTGGTTGCTAATCATACCGAATAATGTATTATATTCGTGTCAATGGAAGACAGTTTATACTTTATCGTGGGAGAGCCATGTTTCTGACACCACGTCCTCACAGAAAACCGGTATAAAGTAATTCTTTCGGTTCTTTTCATCGAGTGAGTGAGTTTACAAAGCTTCTCAAAGGCTCAAAGGACATGTGTCCCAAAGTGACTAAAGTTAGTTTTTAGCATTTTTATTTATTTTCTTAGGTAGGTCTTAGTGATATTATTCATTTTTCATGATTTTATACATGAAAAAATCGAATGATGGTAATACAGTTTATTAAGATTACTGAGATTTGAATAAGAAAATGATATAGCCTTTTTTCTCGATTAAAATAAAATATATCTAAAATAACTAAACCAAATGATTATTGAAATCTTTCAAAAAACATCCTAAAGTCTAATAAAATAACTAATGCCTTATAATCTATAACTTATAAGCCGAGTCTTGTAAACAAGTGGGTTTGTAGCGAATTATAGCTGTTGTTTTTGAGTAAAGTTGATTTTGAAGATAACAAAACCAATATTTAAAACAATTCTTCTAAACTTCTCGTGATTTATTTAATTATGTATTTTTCATTATACTTTAATTTCCGAATTATAACTTTAAAACGAAATCAGCCGTGTAAAGTTTGGTTTTAAAAATCATCTTTAAGTAATTCATTTTACCTTCCATCACAGAAAAGGCTTTTTTATTTAGGTATACTTAACTCTTACATTATTTTAAATCGAAATGTTAATTGGCGTTAGACTCATTTTCTAGCTCTCCGACGCTTTCCCAACAATTAGTAATAATATAAATTTCTCTGAAAGTACCGGAGACAAGGTTTTTAGCCCCGATTAATCATTTTACAACGCTTTGAAGAAGGAAAGCAAGTTTAAGTTGACATTCCTATTTTAAATTAATTTACTATCTGATCTTTGTTTAAACATTTTTTGTACCTACCGATATTGTAGCACCAAGTCGTGAAAAACCCGACGCGAAAATTATTTTTTATTGAAAGAATATTATTATTTGAAAGAAGACTTTCGCATTCGTATTTGTGAGTATGGAAAATCCATCATTTGTCACATCACTAGTGGGTATAAATATAAAATGGTACAATATTGTGAGTAAAACGTGTTTGTCCATCTGCAAATAACATACCTATTATGTAAAATAAAATATACCTTAAGGAACTTTACCTTGGTGAGCGAGTTTTTAACGAGGTTTTTTTTATTACTTGTAGTACCTATACAGGAACAGTTTTCATTTGTCTTATTAATAGACCTCGTTATAATCGAAAGCCTAAACAATAAATGTATTTTGGCTAAGGTCTTTTTTTAAAAGGTATTGCGGTGCGGTCCATGAATGCAAGTTATCTACCGTAGTTGTCTGAAATGATGATTAATGATATATTTCTGCATTTAAATATGCATTTAATACCATTCATGTTAACTTTACTTTCATAATATCCATAAACGACCAATCCAATTATGCACAGTAATACGATGATGATAGTTAGATAGTAGCTTAAACAAATTTAACCTAAAAATACAAAAAATATTCATATTTGTGTTTAAGAATTCTGATAACTTATTTAGGTACATGATAGGTGCAAACAAAACGCAAGGTGGTAACATTTTTTCGCGGACACATATTCGTACAACATTTTGGCCAAGGGACAGCTGCCGCGGTAATTTCGGGAAAAACGCACTTTAGCCAGGAAACGGAAACCAGCTGTGCAGCGGAGCGTAGTTAATGCATTATAAACCGACGAAATTGCATTTTTAAGGCTCCATCAATGTGGTTGAGAATTACAACTCGACATTTGCTTATATTTACAGGTACGTGGGAGTTGAAAACAATCCCATTTTACACTTTAAGGTCCAACTCACACATAGAACCTACCTGCTCGTTCTGTGCAGAATATTGTTTATAGTTATTACTTAGGGTTATTTAACTAGTACAAAGCGTGCAACGTCTCACCTGAACTTAACAATAATTTAATATGTCGATATTACTGTCATGTTGAATTGTCAATGATTGCGACCTTGATTATGTATTAAAAATAAGTTAGTCGATGAGTCGAACTTGCTCAAGAAGTGGCTACTAAAACTTAATTTTTTGCATCTTTGGATACAGGATAAATTATACAGCCGAAATTTCGTTTAATTTACTTAATTTGTGTGACGTGTTAGTAGTGTGACTGACTGATTTTAACTTATTTGAATTGATTTTTCCATTTTGGTTTCGAGACATACATATGTAGTGTATGTTGTCGTAATATTCTATACGAACTGATATTACGCACCGTTTAAAATAACCAAAAAAAAACATTGAATACGAAAAATAAAATCGGCGAGCGTAACCTTAATTATGTTATGTGATACATTCTAATTCAAACACAATTTAAACATGTTTACATTTGGCCTTTAATTTAAATAGGATTAACTGTAGGTGCCAATCTATTGTCGCTACTAGGTATACGTTTATTTTTAAATTGTGATTACGATTATACCACACAGTTTTTTTTTGAACGTGCACAAAAAAAAGACTTGATTGTATCACTGTAGTTCTTTAGTGTACAAAAAGTGCAAAAATAAATATATCAATTACGTATCGAGTTCGGGAAGTAACTGGTTGTTTTTTAGATAACAAAATGGGTACTTGTATGAATGGTTTGTTTACTACTAGAATTCTAATGGCATTATAGGTAATTATGATTCATACACGATATATCAAATGCATCACGTTTAGGTACCTATTTTTTGCTACCTTATATTTTTTAAACTGATAGTAGATAAATAAACGTAAATATTTAGTGCTTCTACATGTTACAATTAACAGCAAAAAAAGGTTAAGAAAATGTTGTAGATTGTCCGCTCAGTGTGAGTTAACAATAATCGAACAACAAAACCAACACCCGCTAAAGTTGCAAGGTACAAAGTATTTAGGAATTTTATCATTGTAGGGTTAAACATGAGCAGGTCTAGCAGGTAACATTGAGTCCAACTTGCATCTTATCTAAATTCAATAGCGGAGCGAAGGGCCGCGCCGGCCGGTTTTCGTAAAGCCCGGTTCTCCGCACAGCCGCCTTCAACGCTCCAACCAGTTCTACGCCAATTATGTGGCGCTGCTATTCGATACGATATAAACAACCGACAAGAAATGCATTCAATACACACACTACGCTTAGATATCACGCTGTAGGTGTAACCAATGCATACCTACACAAATAATATTCAATGTGCCCTGTGTGTAGGTAGCCCAGTGTTTATAATTGGTTACACTTTGATATTGCGACACTAACATCACTAAGTTAGCACTTATTTTTTTATATAACTTACAACCGTGGGTACTTTTTACCCGTCAGCTCCAGATACCGTAGCAGTTACTGAAGTTGTTTGTGCATATCGTTATAGGTACTTACATATTTCGTTGTAAATTACTCTTATAGCAGACTATTGTGATGTGTGGTATAACTGAATACGCCGAAAGCTGAGTAAGACAACAAGAAAGCAATAAAAAACATGTAAGTATGAAATTTGGGGCTTACCTGATCCTGTCAGAGACAATTTCTGGTTTAGAAAGCTTCTTCGCGGGAATAACGGCATGCGAAGGAGCATGTGTGGGGCTAGCGGATGGTTCTGAGGGAGCCGACGGTGGTGAGCATGAGCCCGAGCTAGAGAGGCTGAAGGCACGCGATCGGCCGTCTGATGCCGCTGGTGTACGTCCTGATCGCGTGCGTCTTCGTCGCTTCTTTTCTTCTTCGGCTCGAATAGCTGCTCCTGGAGGTGCCCAGTCTAGATCTTTTTTTAGATGCCCTCGGCCACAACGGCACCCGCATGCCTTGAATGCCAAATCATAGCCTTTCTTGGTCCACAAATTTTGATATCGTTGTCGTTCGGACCACGAACGGGCCCTACCGCTAGACTTTAGATAAGCTAGCACACCGGCTTCCCATTGCTCGAAGCACTCTCGGTGCATGTACCGGCCGGCAGCGCACGTGTCGTTGTTGCATAGCAGGCGAACAGCATCTTCAATGCGTACCGGCTCACGGGGTCGAAGGCATTCTCCGGGAACGCAGCACCCACGAGCTTCATCCGCCTCGCGCTCGCCGGTGGCGCCTTGCCGTCGTGGAGCCATGCCACGATCGACTTGCTAACGAAATCGAATGTGCCGCGCGGAAGTAGAGGAGAGCGTCACACTAGACACATGCTTGTCGGAGCGCGCGCGGCCGACTAATAACCGCGAGTGAACGAAAGCGAAATTTCAAGAGCGAAGCGCGTCGCCGCGCCACCCGCCTGTATACGCGGGGCTGACCTTGCGGCGAGCGGAGCGCGGTGCGGGAGCGCGGGGAGCCGATGCAGCGAGGGGCGGGCCGATGCGGCCGACACGCCGGCGGTGGGGAGAAAGTGCCTAGCGAATTTTCACTTTCGCGCGGTAGCGGTAGCGGGAGCGGCCAATAACGCGGACGCGGTAGCGTCCGAGGGGAAGACAAGGGGCTCGCAGCTCTCTGCTCTTTACATAACAAATCAACATCTGGAAATGTGTCATTTTTTCATTTTACACTACCTATTTTTTGATAAAACTTTTCTTTCCTTTAAAAAAAGTTCTTGTACAAAAAAGATTTCCTTACCAAAATAAAATATTTTACAAAAATAAGTTGATTCACAGCTGGTGACTCAATTAAGAATTCATATTCTAACCCCTAAATGATTTAACAATACCTATTGTACTACCTTCAACCTTTGTCTATTGATAACTACATATGTCGATATCAAGGTTGAGTACATGGGCACCTGAATATCTTCATAAAGTCAAATACTCGTAATAAGTATCAGTAGGTATAATTATGTAACATAACCTCTCATCGTTACAAAATGTTTTTCAAAGTGTTAAAGCTATTTAGATCGAACATTAATAAGTATTTATTTATTGTTAACTTTGTTGTAAGATAATATAGGTAAATGGATGCGATAATAAATTTACATAATAATAGGTGGGTATAATCTCTGTATTCTTCTTATAATCAGTGTAGAGCGTGATCTATTACGGTGTAATACACATTACACCGTACACGGGATAAACATAATTTATAAAAACTTTCTTCGATTACCTACCACCACTATCTAGGTTTTAAATTTGTGAAAAGATTAGTATCGCCACGGTAGTCGATAAACCTATAGAAAGCCATGTTTCGGCAAAAATGACAGGCTCGACGGGAGTGATTCCACGGCCTCCTAGAAAACCGGTGTTAAGCAATACTTACCGGTGTTAACAAAACCGAGCGACTGAGGTTATGTTAACACCGGAGCCCAAAACAAGTAGGGATGGAATATAATAAAACTCACGAAAGATGTAAATCTTATAAAAAAGGTAATCGTAATATTTGATAAATAGAATTTTGATTGATTTTAATGCAATTTGTCGTTATTTATGACGTAATCACAATCACGTGTGAAATCGCTGTGACTATCACAAATCATTTCATTAAATGAATATGATTTAAAAGTAGCACTAATTTCCATGTCTGAAAACAAATGCTATGCTGCCCTTAGGATAGACCCCCCTTCCCCAAGGCCGTCTTAGGCCATGCCGAGGCCCTTGGGCACACAAGAATTAGGGGCCCTGTTGGACAGTTAACAAAATGAATGATGAAAATATTTTTAGTTATGATCTTTTACTTAAAATGATTTATTGACAACAATCAAATGTACCTATAATTAGAGATATTAATTAGATAGATATATTTACGAATAAGTATAATGGATATAAATATGAGATATTAATTAGACAAGCATCTTTGAATTGATGGTTTGAATCAGTTAGATACAATTACGACAGTGATTTTTTTCGGGTTTCTGTTATGCAAATTCTTCTATTATATCTTCAAAGTAATTTTTTTTGAGGATATCATTTTCTATACACATAATTGATAAATACGTTAGTCGCTCTTCTGACGCTCATGATCGTAATTCATTTTTTATTCGCTAACTTTGAAAATGAGCGCTCTCCGCTGCAATTGGTAACCATTAGGCATAGAAACATTCTTGTAGCCACTTCAACATTTGAAAAAGTTTCTTCTAATCTGTCGGACTTTATTAAATTATGTAAGTTTGAGATACTTAAATCAGCTGATTCCTTTGATATATTATTTAAATACCGTCTTAAACGAAAACACTCTGATTTGAGCTCATATGCATTAATGTCTTCGTGATAGAATTCTTTAAATTCATTGCATTTTTTTGTTAACTCGTCAGAATCAATTGTTGTTAATTGTGAAAGAAAACTAAAACGATCGTGAATTTCTCGATACGCTACCAAACGATTTTTTAAATGTGCATATAATGTATCTATTATAGGGATAAATGTAACTATACGAAATTTTTCCTTCCCATGCAACTGCACAGTCTCTGATGATCCTTCAAAGAAAGTAACGCGTGTGCTGCGAATTCTATTCCTGTCAAATTTATCTTTATAGTCAGCATTTGGATTTTTTTCTTTAGCAGCTAATTCATATTGATCAAAATTATTGCTTGCGTTATTGACGTACTCGATGAGAGATGCGTAAAGCTTTGTGGCAACGTCTATGGTATCCTGTAGTAGTGCTATCCTGTAAGCTTAAACTTGTTTTGTTCATAATTCCCAAAAAATCATTCTATATTTCCGTTAAAAGTATTGTGTTCAATTTTTCCATTTTTTTTACTAGGCTTTGCGCTTCGATTCTTGTTTCTCCTGGTTGATTGACATCACTTACTATCGAGGACAAAGCTTCAGAAATATTTAAGTAACCATTTTGTAAAGCATTAATGGCATTTGCACGTGCAGACCATCTAGTATCCGGCACAGACTTCAAGACTTTATTTGTGCCTAATTGCTCTACCATAATTTTCCATCCTTTGGTCGTAGCGGAGAAGAAATTAAACAATTTTTGTATAAACTGAAAATATGCTGCAGCTTCGGAAACACAATCAATAGCTTGAACACCTACCAAGAATCCACGCTTATAGAGTAGTATTTTGCTGATTTTATTTCACTCACAATTGTTCTTAAAACTTGCTGTCCCATTATATTGATGAATTCATTACAAATATTTGCAGACAAATATGATGTACTTCCTTTCCCACGATTTCCGCAGTTCCGCATATGATCAGCAAGAAAATAATCAAATTCACCAATCAGTTCTAAGCATCCTAAATAATTTCCATTGTTTTGAGACCCCAAAATCTCATTATCACCACGTAAAGCAAGACCTCTAGAAGTCAAAAATTTCACTACTGCAACTATTCTTCTAAGTACCTTCTTCCAATATATTATAATATTCTTCCAATAATTGACTTCTGTATTATATTGGGATAGTAACTCACTGTCAAGTCGTCCAGTAGATTTGCTTCTTGCGACATAATTCATCATTAATTGCCTGTGCTGTAAACTATTCTCATGATCAATTAATAAGTTACTTATATGCTTCCAATCTTTATATCCATTTGGAGAACTCAAAGTACATCCAGTATGCCTTGCCATATGCCTTGTATTTTGCCATCTTGCCATTTCATGTTGTGTATGCTACATTTGGATTACTGTCTAGACTTTATATGTATCTATCATCTGTTTCCTGTAACATGTAATGGCAGTAATCTGTAAGTGTACCTTTTAGAAATAAATAAATAAATACTAGTATTAAATAGACGGCAGCAGTAACAGTACACAGATTGTTTCAAAGGTGAATAAAGGAGCCATTTTATTTGTAACGACTCGCCATTCGTGAATTTACGGGTAAAAATATTCTTAGACAAATATCTAGTTAAATGAAATGATGCACTTCAAATTTATCCTTGGCTACCGCAGCGCCACCCTTATTGGATACGTTTTGGCAATGCCACATTTTCTGACACATTTAGTAATATCATTGGCAGAGGCGGCCTTTGGGGGCCTTTGGGGGCGCAGACCCCGGGGCCTCGCTAATGCAGGGGCCTCACGCATGCAGGGGCTTCACGCACTCGCGACCCCAGTAGAAAAATATGTTTATTTGAATTTCGCGCTTTGCGCATCGCATTCTAAAACTCACGTCACGCTTCTCGCGATCTTTTGCGTGGTACTTAAATATTAAGGTGTTTACGATTTACGTTCAGGGATTCCCCGTGTTTAATTTCGCCTGTAACATTGTAGAAACTGTCGTCGGCTTATGCTTTTATGTGCGAGCAGCAGTATGTGTTGCGATGCAATTTTTTTGTTTAATGTATGATCATTAAAACTAATTCCCGGGGCCTCGCAATGCCGTTACTGATCATTGGCTTGTCAGTGCTTAGAGTTGCTAAAAAGGCCCATTTACTTTTTTTTCGGATAATATCGATATGAATTTGAAAAAAAAATGAGGTAAGCGAATATTTAACGTGCTATGTATTTGCTTTTTGGAGGCCCCTTGACGATGGAGGCCCTGGGCACGGGCCCCGTGTGCCCTTATGGTAAAGACGGTACTGCCCTTCCCTCCTACCATACCTGGGGCCCTGTGACGCTTGAGATATAGGTCTCGATGGCCAGTGGTAGTTACTTGGTGGTACACCAAGTGTCTCGTTCGCTCGTTTGCCCAAACTTGAAAAAAATATTTATAGGTACAATGCGGTTTTAGTCGGTTCGGGTCCGACATGCCACCGACAGGTGGTATCCGAGGGGATTTCCGAACGGAAAAAAAAAAAAAAAAAAAAAAAAAAAAGGTACAATCTTTAAGGGAGGAAAACTAAGCGATGAAAGGTGCTTATTTTTTATTATTTTTAGTTTTTTAACTTAATTTTTTTGTATGGTATTTTCAATTTAAGTAAGTAGAATTCTCAGGTTATCTGTAGGATTGTCATTTTTTCCAGCAATTGCGCATTTCCTACTCACGACAACACAACCTTGCATTTAAAATAAACGCTTACATTCTTATCACATACAAATAAATCAATTTTAAAAGGTGTGCTCACAAAAGTTAAATATACTCACTGTTCATACCCCGCTATCGCATATTAATTACGTGCCACCGAAATTCTTTGTTAAGTAGTTAGTGACAATCCTATTTAGCGCCCTTACACGCGGCTTTTATTATATCCTAAAAACTACTACTAAAAACACTTAGTGAATCGAAATTCACCTTTCATGTGAAT